GAATTTCCTTTTATTTTAATTACGAAGAAAAGAAGCGAAATTAGGTGAATCTCGCGTGGACCAAAGTTGGTCCTTGTATTTTTGCCGACATTTTGAGACCTTAATCGGGGAAAACGGACCCCGTTTGGACGAGTGGTGACCGCCAACAAGCAGGAAAAGATGGGAAAATTAATAGGAATTGGTGATTTTTCTTTGTATTTTTATAAAAAGTAAAAAAGAATCCGAAGTCGGCAAAAGTGATCCGTTGGAACCCGGCTTTAACTGACTATAAACCGACGGAAGATTTTCTGCCTCGAGAAGTCGGACGTGGTGGCGTGAGGTGGCGCGCAAAACGCTAAAACCCTAATTGGGGGAAACCCTAATTAGGGTAAAACCCTAACCCTAAGTTAGGGAAGGGGAATGCGTAGCCCGGCGGATACAAGTCTTTCTATCCGACCGGTGATGAGAAAATTTTGTATAAATCCAGTTGACCAAATTGAAATTAATCAATATTGGGAATTTTGTTTTATTAAATAATTTAAGTTGTAAATTTGTTTTAAGTAATAATTTGTCATTTAAAATCAATTTTAAATCAAAATAATTATCTAAAATTTTACAAGAAAGGGGAGTCGACTTTATTTCGACTTTGTGATTCGGGAGATACTTCGCTTAACTCCATCCCAACGGGGGGGGAGGGCCAAGTGCTGCCGAAAGTACTCGGCAATTTGGTAAATTTTATTCAATTAAATCTCAAATAATTAAAGAAAATACTTAAAAATTAGCTAAAAGTTTCTTGTTAAACATCTTTCGTCCGCATTTTTTAGGTCTTTGGGGGGAAGCCAAAATGTAGCTGAAACTTCGCAAAATTTCCTAATTTAAATTATTAATTTCTTTATATATATATATATATATATTGAAAGCGATTAGGAAAATTAATTGTAAATACGATAGAAATTTGTTTCCTTAAGCGACTTTCCTCTTGTTTCATTTGGCTTTAGTTCTGGGTAGGTAGCATTTGTCTAGGGACAATAGTCCCGAACCCCATCCCAACGGGGGGAGGCGAAACGCTGCCGAAATTTTAGTAAAATCCCCAAAACTTTATTTCTACCCCTAAAAAAGCGTCAAACTCGGCGGGCTTATATAAGTATTAATCCTTAATATATATAAACTAAGAAAGAAAATTTATCTTAGGTACATACATTTTCTATAATTTATAATTGAAAAATACAAAAGGATTCCCTAGAAGGAGAAGGGAAGGAACGTTGCGGTAACCTGGTTTCAGGTGATCCTACTAGCTTGTTCTCGAAGGCGTGAGGCAAGCAACGCGAATTTTCAGTTATTAATCTACACTTCCGCTTGCTGCGTTCTCTTTAGCCGTCAGTTGAATGTGGTCGCGGGTGCAAGTAGAGATCTATGGGGCTACCATTGACTGGGACTTAGAGCCCCCTGAACTCATAGAGGGGGGTCTGGTTGAGCTCACGATCCCCGGACGCTGCATTCGACACGCTGACGGCCAGTTTGCGTGGAGGTCCATAATCCTGTCCGAGGACATGTGGCTTTGGACGTACAGAGAGCACCGGTCGGGGCAAGGAGTGGGCGTAGTGAGAGCCTACTTGTATTTGGGACCGGGTGCGGTCAAGGAGGCCGTGGTGGGCCTCACGACGACAGGGATTAGTGACGCAGTTAGCAGGGCGCTGCGCTACCTAGGGGAAGAGGTAGCTGCTTTCCGAGCGGAGGACGCGAGCGACTCGTTGACCCTATTTCATGGACACCATCCTCTTGATATCACGGACGAGCTGGTGGTAGCACGGGACGACTTTTTCCCGTACAGCGTTAGGAGCCTGCGGGCGATAGTTCCGACGTTCGTAGTATAGAGCGTCTTTGGAGGTATTAGTGGAGTGGTCGAGACATACCTGGCTTATCAGGATCTCAAGATCCTGGCGAGAAGGCCTGCCGACCTGGACTATATCTATTATTCGCTCGTGACTGGTGGGCCTCGTTGGGGAGACGAGAGGATTCAGCTTATAGAGCTGATCCGCTCGATAGACGACGAGTGGCCCCAGTCTCCGTGCATTTGGGATTGGCTGGACCGTGAGCTCCGAGCAGGCCCCGAGTACGTGACCTGCATYGGGCGGYTCTTCTCAGACGACTGGGGGAGCTGGTGRAGTGAGGACGCCRGGCGACCTCTGATATACGGCCATCAGTTGATGGAATACTACCAGGCCATAGGACAGGCGCCATACCGCGTCGAGGACGAGTTTGACGACGAGGGTTGGGAGCGAGAAGACGACGAGGAGTGGGAGCCAGACTGGGTCGACCTAGAGAGTGAGGTTGACGAGGAGGAGATTGACGTTATAGACGCCCATTTTCCCAGGTAGGAGTAGCGGTCCGGGCGTAGGAGGTAGAGGAGCGCACCAGGGCGACGGATGAGTGAGCCTGGCTACTGAACCTATTCGACCATACTGGACCTGAGTACGAGAGTTGTCGGAAGGGTTAGCAACGTCGAGAGATGGGGTGCATCGGAGGGAGTAGAGTGATGCTGACCGAGAGTAGGAGAAGAAATGAGGAGTGATTCAGCGGCCTGGTTAGCTTATGTTTTCTCACGAGAGTCCGAACCGTATAGTGTGAGGAAGCTTGTGGGACCCAGAGAGACGGCGGTTGGATACGACATACCACTTCCTGTGGCGTTAGAAGAGGCAGGGYGTGTACCGATACGATACTTGGGAACGTGGCTCGCAGAGGGGCTCTTCCTATGGACAGTGATAATACGAGACGAACGACCCGAGAGGACTCATGAGCTAGAAGGGTTTGGACATCTAATAGCGGATAAAACACACAATTTAGAGATAGGGTTAACGCTCGCAGGGGCGAGCAGAAGTTGGTGGAGAAGTGAGTTGTTAGGCAGAGTGATCGTTAATCAGCAATTGGCGAGACTCGCTGGAGGGAGGACGAGTAGGAGCTGCTTGGTATATGGTCCACCACATCCGACCCTCTACCCAAGAAAGGATTGGCGATTCGGAGTTCCTGCCTTCGTGATAAGGCAGACCTATGGGAGCGTGGATCGTTTGAGGAGAGCAGTGGATCACACACTTTACGCGCTCTGGGAGGGCTAAGCGCCCCGCTTCAAGGAAGTATACTACGCCATTTGTGTGAGGTGAGGGCCGCCCAGTAGAGAGACGCTTGACGACATCATAGATGTTACGAGCTGGGTGGACTGTCTGAGGCCTATCGATCTGATTAGGTACTGCAGGAGACGGGCAGAGATCGATTACGCGGGGCTAGAGGACGCGAGATTTCTCTTCAAGATCGCAGCTTAGGGAATGCCGGGAAGGACAACCACGACGATGCGTGTAGAGGAGCAACTGGTAAGCACAGGATACACTGTGACAGTACTTCTCCAAGCGTACGTAGACGAGGATTTGACGTCGAGTGAGTGTAGACTACGAGCTAGGGATTTGATCCACGAGCGTAGAGCCGATGTACTGGCGCGAGTGACCTTCCAGACCTCGATTTCCTATGATGTGATGATATGGTCTCATGGTTATATGCGCGCGGAGCACTACCACGATGAGACGGTAGCGGACGCTAGAGCGAGGGTGAGAGGGTGAGCTGGAGAAAGATGTGGACTGAGTATGGAAGAGGAGAGTGAGGCAGTCAAAAGAGTGAGAAAGCGCGTTAAAGAACCACTCTTGAACCAGGTAAAGAAGTTGGGGAACAAGTTAAGGGAGATCTGGTCGTGTCAAGACGAGGGTAAGTTGCGAGGAGCTGAACTCGTGACAAGAGAGTTAGACAATCTGTTTAGGGAAGAAAGAGAGATTATCCAGGCGTGGAGATCAGACTTTCTGGAGGGGGTAAGGGCAAGAAGCGTATCACGCAGAGAAACTAGTAAGCGATCTGCAGAAAGCGAGACAACGGAAGACAAAGTTACGCAGGGGAGTAGCGACGGGATATGAGCGAGACTGCACTACACACGACGGATTGGTACTCATTACATGTGGTAGGGAGACAGGATGAACCATTAGTGTTAGTAATCATAGAACTTCAGCTCCATACCAGACTGTGCATAGTTGAGGAAACAGAGTGTTTCCGCCGTGCCTTGCGTGAGGCAAGGGGGACAGGGCTTTGGATTGGAATAGAAGGAGGACGGAGGATAAAATACGTGCTCCGAGTAACACCCTTCGAAGGCCGGTCTCGGATAAGGGCATGGTACGAGACGACCAGAGAGGCTGAGAGGTTAAAGATAAGTGAAGCTAGGAAAGCTGGAGAGTTAGGGAGAGTAGTAACAGATGGTGCAATACTCAGGGTGTTAGCCGCTCACAACCGGTACTGAAAGGAAACGATAAAGACTTTAGAGGCGATAGACGAAGGAGGAGATAATGAGGACTTTGAGACATTTTATGAGATATTGGAGCGGTCGGCGATGAGGTTACAAGTCGTTATAGCACTAACTTACCTCAGCTGTTAGACAGATGACCTCGTAGCCGTTGAAAAGATAAGGTAGTGTAAATAGAAATTGCAAGCTCTTGGAAGGATAGAGGAAGCCAGAAAGGTYGATGGGCAACATTGGACGACAGTAGGAGGGCCTTTAGCAGGCTAACCGATTCAGACAGGGCTAGGAGAACTAGCAAGGAGGACGGAGAGAGACGCTCGGGGACTCTTGAGGGGTGTTAATCAAGAGACATTGGCTAGGTTAGGGACTGCGGTCAGTTTCAAGGATAGAGGTCCTGTCACGGGCGTACTGTGGATCCGGACAGGCGCTGCCTTGTTGACCAATCCCGAAGGAGAGGTTACTTAGACACAGGGATTCTTGGGATAGAGAGAGGACTCGAGATCTGCGACCGGAACAGGATACTGGAGGTGGTAGTCAAGGCAGTCGAGGGATAAGATTGGAGGCGGACGTGAGTCGTGACAAAGAAACAGGTCCGGGCTGCTGCGACTGTCACAAGTCCGGGCTGCCGCGACTGTCACGGGTCCGGGCTGCCGCGACTGACACGGGTCCGGGATGCCGCGACTATCATAGGGTCGGGTTGTAACAGGTGGCTAGAATACCTAACTGCATCTTCTGGCGGTCCAATGGAACCTGACACGATGGGGCCACAACCGACCACGGGCGAAGCGGGAGAAGAGTACAGGACATCGCCCGATCGAGCACTCAGGGATTTGAAGGAACGAATTAGGCAAGAAGCACCGCTGAGATGGGCTGACCAAACCAATGACGGAGGACCCGACATGAGAGGTGAACCCGTTGCGACAGAGCCGCAGGAGGCTCTAAAGACGGGTGCCTCGAGCGGACGACGAGAGACGACGAGGCGACACTCCCCTGAGTACAAGCGGAGGGACACCATAACGGATAGGTATAGAGACGACTGGAGAGAGAATTTGAGGGATTCTTATTGGAGGGATAGAGATAGAGACAGGGCGCCGTCCAGGCGAGTCTTTGACCCCCAGACAGGGGAGTCACATCCGCTCCCTTACGAGACCAAGGACCGCTATATTATTACGCACAAGGTCTCAGAGCCTCCTATCTTCAGGGGCTATGGTATCACAGAATATCTGGAGAAGTGGGAGCTTCACGCCAGCCGGGGTCAGTGGTCGAAGGAAGAGATTATAGAGAACTTCCTATTTAATGTGGACCCAAGTCTTGGTAGGGAAGTTAAGGAAGCTCGGCCGAAGGATGGAAAATTGTCTACGTACAAGAAGAACCTCGTTGAGCTTTACAAATTGGAGGATAACAAGTATTCCATCAAGGACCTTGAAACAATGATTCAAGATGAAGATGAGAGCGTACGGGCATTTGGGATGCGTTTCCAGAAGATCTCCGACGTGCTGATGAAGAAGGGGAAGATCTCAGAGGTCGAGCGTTGTACTATCTTCATCGGACACTTGTCCAAAGGTAGGCAAAAAAGTATACTTAGAGATCTTCCGCGCGACAGACTTGATTTCCCAGAAGTCCTAAAGCTCGCGATAAAGGCAGAGGCAGACGATTACAAGGACTTGGTGTGGAGAGGGATGAGGAGACGTGACTTCTCTCTCTACAAGGAGTATTTCACTGATAGATGTCGTGATTTCAAGGATTATCCCTGGTCGGAGAAGAATGAGGTCGTGCCTGAGGAAATGAAGGAGATACGGGACATGGTGAAGGGATTAACGAGACAGGTTACAGAGATTGTGACCGCCACAGGGGTCACGACCTACCGGGACAAACCTGGAGGGCCCTATTCATTTCGCTGGGACCGTAGAAACAACGATCCCTGAAGGAGTGTCGAGGATAGAAATCCTCGGACGCTGATTGATTATCGTACGAGGGGAAGAGAGAGAGACGATGAGCCATGGCGACGTAGGGACGATGAGATAGACCGAGAGCGCAGAGATCGCGAGCTGTTTGTGCGAGCAAGGAGGCTAGATGATTACCCCCGAAGCCCTCGCTATGAGGCCGATTGGGGTAGAGGCGACTCCCCCGGCCGATGGGAGAAGGACGACAGATACGAGAGATCGGACCGGGATGGATATAGGGACGACAGATACGAGAGGTCGGGTCGAGATGGCTACAGAGGAAGTAGATATGAGAGAGGAGATCGGGACTGGGAACGACAAGATGGGTCACGCGCACGGTTTGAGCGCGGGGGAGATGCGAGAGAGCAGCGCGACGAGACGCGAGGATGGTACAACCGAGGGGACCGACGCGATGAGTCACGAGGACGCTATGACTCGGGGGACCGCCGGAATGACTCGCGAGGGCAGTATGAGCAAGAAGGGTCTAGAGGAGACCAGCGCAACGATTCGCGCAGTCGGAATGAGAGAGGGGGATATGGTGTCTCATCAGAACCATATCCAAAGTCGCCTGACCCCAAGGTGGCCAGAAATTCGATGTCTAGAGGCGCAGACGATAGGGCGTCTACTCCCAGGAACTCATGCGTCTACTGTAGAGGAGAAGATCATATCAAGAGGAATTGCCCGGACCCGAAACGGGCAATAGAAGAGGGACTTGTCGTGCTCGACGACCGCAAGTACGTCAAGTGGGCAGATGATCTCGGAGATGTATCGATGTTCCCTTCGATGAAGGAGAATGTCGAAGCAAGGAGAATAAAGACGAGTAAAGGAATGGAGCCGGTCAGAAGCCAGAGCATCAAGATAATCTTTGAGGGCGATATCGCGACCACACCCATAAGGGTGGCAGCCACCAAGTCAGCAAGAGGGTCTACATCGAAGAAGACTGACTCGGATTATGTGATGACGGAGAAGGACGGGCAGCGGGTCGATGGAGAGGAGGTTATCCTGTCACCGCGAAAGCGGGGAGTCAAGAAGTTCTTAATGAAGAGTTCGCTGGACGAGATTGACACGGTCGAGCCACTGAGGCGGGCCCTTCGGCAACCCATGCAG